TGTGGGGGGGTGGGGGGGGGGAGGCAGCAGACAGGCAGCCTGTTGACACCCAGCCGTGTGCCCGCGTACGCGGGTGAAGAGGCAGAGAGTTTTTGTCGGCGAGGGAGCGAGTTTGTTTGTGGGAAGTACCTGCATTTTCCCACCGTTTATGTTGTAACGAGTTTTTGTCGGTCTGTTCGTACGATACGCGAACATGATCGCTGTTGTTGCGTATAGGCCAGACACTGCCCGGACGTGCCATCAAAATGTGCACACATGTAAAAAAATAAAAAAATACCAATTTTTGAAGGTCGACGGAGTGTTGGGGGGCAGGTGGGTGGGCGTGGGTGTGGAGTACCCAAGGCGGGAGCTGTGAAGGTCGAGGGAAGCTGGAGATGGGAGGGTGGGTTGCTTTTGGGTTGTGAAAGGTCAAAAGTGTTTTGTTTCGGCGGCAGGCGTTTTTACCGGGAGCGAAAAGAGAAACGTGAGGCTGCAAAAGAGGAGCACTACGACTATGATAGCTGGTTTACGAAGTGATGCCATGATGGTGAGGAAGTTGCGCTGCCAAGGAGTAACAGGAGTCACAGCGAAAAAAAATGTCAAGATCTGAGAACGATGTGAGCTTGGTATTCTCAAGGTATGCGGCTGTGCGGTGTGCCGAGCCACGAAGCGGGTCACCAGCAGCATGGTGTCCAACGCCTGAGATTCATTTCCCTCAAATTGTGTTGGCTTGGGAGAAAGCGGGCAGTCGAAGGAATATTGGGTCACCTCCATGATTGTAGACAGGGTCAGATGGCGATGGTCGCTCTCCACGTACACCCAAAGGAATGCCGGTAGTGTAAGCGGAAGGACGAGAGGTCAGGATGAAGAGTGGTGCTTCGCGTCAGCAGCAGCAGCACAGCAGCGAGGGACGGATGGCCACGAATGACGCCGCCTGCCTATACGGTGACAACACACTACTACTACCCATTCGTTGCACGTTCCCTGTGGAAAATTATGTGGTACTGACCAAACCACCAAATGACCCGCAAATGCACACATGGCATGGCCCGGACGACACCGACAGGAGAACCATGAGGTGGAAACGAACCCAGATAAATATGGTGTGGCATGGTAACTTAACCGGAAAAACAAGCGAACAACGCCTCGCACACTATGGAGAGGGGGCTATTGACTCTACAACGAGAAAAGCGACGCACTATTTTATGGTCGTATTCCCCCGACAACGCTAGGCTATTTAACAAGGAGCTTCGTCCTGGGTACAGGACAACGGCCAAGCTGAAACACTAAACTAGCAAAGTAGGTGCACACGCTAGCTATACGATCCAGCTCTCGCTCTTCTTCTTGCGTCAACGCCCCGACTCCAACAGGGGCACCGGGACACAAACAAACGCCTCCAGATACGAAAACACCTCCCATGCCCCACCGCAGTGAGCAAAGCCTCCGCTACAGGCCCCTTCCTTCCTAGACCGCAAATGAACCATCAAAGTGAAATGCCTTTCAGGCACCCTCTCTGTAATTTTTTCCGGGACGATTTTTGTCGGCAAAAAAAAAAAATCTAAAGTGGTGGTCGTGAGTGTCAGGAAAATAATAACAAAGCAAGACTTATGACAACGGGCAGTCTTGGCGACATGCGCGGTGGTGCGCGCCACGAAGGGCATCGAGAAATGAATGCGCGGTGGCGGCCGCTGTCCTGAGCCCCGTGGACGACTGCAGCCTACATTGGTGTGTGGGGGCGGAAGAATCCACGTACCCCCCCCCCCCTTTTCGTACCTCCTTCGTGCGATTAGTAAGTTTATGAGGAATAGAACAGGGAGGGGGCACGCAGACCCTACTCCCTAACCCTAACGCTAACCCATCTTCCCCGATTGTATGTTTTATCCAACATGTTTTCTTAATACAATAAACCCTGCCAAGGTTGCTGCCTTTTCCCCCTCGCCGCAAAACAAACAACAGCCAAAGTCCTGTCTATCGTGCCCCCCGGGCTACCGTAGCACGACGGCACCGGAGCGATTGTCATGCCCGCCTGCAAAAAGGCTATCTGGCATCCCCCAACACCCCACCCTTCTCTGGGCACGGGGATCGATATCCGCTCATCACAACCGCTCCAAACGAAACCAAACGCCGACGTCAACACACAAGGCGGTGTCGAGATCGAACAGAACCCGTGTGTCTCACGCTAGAATCTAACGGCGGATTTTTACATGGCACTGCAATAAAGGCGCTACGCCACCCCCGCGCGCGTTTCGAGCAGACCGCAACCAAAACAAGGGACGCTCACCATCATCGTCATCATCTGGCGTAGGGAGAGAGGGTCGACCGTCAAACGCTACACGCTACTACAGCAAATACACACCCAAAGGAACAGAAAAGCGTAACATAAAAAACATCCGACCCGCCGTGCGCCCCCCCCAAAAGCACCCAACCCAGCGCCAGCCGTAAAAAAAAAGCGGCACACTGACGGCACACCGGAGAACGGATCATCACACACGGCCACGGAACCGCCAGAAGTCGACGACACCCAGTAATAAACAAAAACGGCACCACTACCAGAGACGACGGCACACACGGAAAGGAGGACCAAATCACGCGTGGTGTCGGCCTTCCCTGTGAAATGCGTCATCGTTGGTTCATCGTCTCTCAATTCCGGATTATTACTGTTGCGGGATTAACCTTTCCGGCTCGCTTTCAGTGACCTTTCGAGAAAAAACGGCACCACGACGAGAGACGACCACACGCACGGAAGGAGGACCAATCACATCATACATCATACATCATACGCGGCCGCGGAAGCGTTCGAAGTCGATGTTGGCCTGGTGGTCTCGCTCCAACTCGGGCCTGGCGAACGGCTCGGCCTTGAGGCTCGGCTGCAGGTAGGCCGTGCGGGCATCGCCGTCGTCCCCGTCCTCGTGGTCTCGCGCCGGCCGCCTGGCCGGCTCCACGTCGTCGAGCACCTACAGCACGAAACAGAAATCGATCCCCCGCCAGTAAAAATCGACCCAGCCGTTTCGACATTGCGGAGGGACGGCAGGGGAACGTGTGGGGAGGGGGGTTAGCGATACTTTATCCGGTTTTTCTCTGCAGCATTGGGGAGCAGCAAGGAGGGGTCTGGTTTGGGGGAACGGGGGGGGGGGGGGGGGGGTGGGTTCTGCCGGGGG